TGATTCTATGATAGTGAGAGATGGGATACAAAATTGGCTGAGTGACCGGAAACTGGTGTATTGTTTTGTATTTCACATTGTATGAAGATATGGTTCATTCCAGGAGTTGGCCCTATAACCACTGCTTTTTAAATTGTATTAAAGACCTAGACTTGGCAAAGCACAATTTCAAAATTTGCAAATGACACTAAATTTGGACGAATTGTGAACTATGAGGATCGTGATGGATTCCAACAGGACATCGAGGCTGGTGAAATTTAATGCATAAACAGTGAAGTGATACATTTTTGGTGAAATTTAATGCATAAACAGTGAAGTGATACATTTTGCTATCAAACAGAGGATACAATTATAAAGGGTGCACGAATATACCTTGACAATATCTGCACAAATCACTGAAGGTGACAAGGCAGTTTGAAAAGGTGAGTAATAAATCAGGTGGCATTTTGGGCTTTAATAATTGGAGCAGAGAGTGTAAAAGTAACATATGATAAATCTTTATAAATCACTTGTTCAGCTTCAAATGGACTATTGGGCTGAATTCGTTGTTCTTGTTGGTGACCCAGCAGGAGACCTGCATTGCTTTGGTGAGAGGAGACCTTACCAAATTAAGTGCAAGGGGCCAGCATCAAGGCTTTCCCAGCATTTACAAACCTGCTGGCAGAAATACCATCCACACCACCACCGCTCAGGACAGCTGCTGGACATTCTGGACTTTCCATGGGGGTGGTGGCTGCCAAGCAATGCCCATCAGCACAACAGGCTACTACTGTTAATGCTCCCCTCTATCATTGACAAACCCTGGCCACAGCGGGTAAGGATAACGTGAGGTTTGCAGACAGGAGTCAGTTGCAAGGGCAATAGATGGTCAATCCTTGCTGTTCATATTTTCTCATTGCTTGATCCACACTGAATGCTGATCCCTTCGCTTCATGTTTTCTCACAATCAAGTCAGAAAGACATTACTGGCTCCTGTTCAGGTTTTCTTCTCATTAGCTTTTCTCTCTTATCTCATGGTTTTCTCAGCAAACATAGTCCATTGTCTTTGTCCCATCGTTTGAGATGACCAGTCAGTGAACTAATATCAGATTGGAAAAAACAGCAATGTGGAGAGACACTGGAACTACAAAAATAAATTAATGGCTGTTGTTATGGATGAGGTTACTCTACTCACAAACAAAAGAGAACTATGAGATTACATTCTGCAGAATGAATAACAATGCATGCAAGCTTAGCCAAACATAAAGTGACTGAATATTGGCTAACAACCTGACTGTGTTACAAAACAACAAACACAGCTGTAAGACAATGCATAAAACCAGGGAGTGAGAAAATGACCAGAGTCATGAGATGGAGCATAAAATCCGAGGGGTGATTCAGTGACCACAGATATGTAATTGACTTTGAAAACAGGCATAAGAGAGACTGCAGTTATGGAACAGAGTGTAAAGCTGGGAAGAGAAAATTACCTTTCTAAGCAAACCTGTAAGGGTAACTGTTTTAAAAAAAATGCCCTGAAGGAGGAAATAGTGATTCCCAAAGGGCAGTTTGTGGAAGTTGAGTGGGAAGAGGGAATGTAACCAGGTGCCATCACCTGCTCCCCCTCAACATGTAATAAAGCTCAAAAACATTATATAGGTGAGGTGCAGCAATAGTAAACACATCAACCAAGGAAACTGAAAAGGTATGAATCTGTTTCATTCTTGATATCACTGACAGTCAAGGCACCATAGTCTTAACACATAATAAGGCTATCAGAGCAACTGGTGGTGGTTTAACCAGAGAGGGTCACCACTCTTCTTGCAAGGGAAGAGTTTGAAAAGGAGGTAATCTCAGCAAGTGTGGGAATTGAACTCACAAAACAGCTATACAGCCAACTGAGCCAACCAACATGTACTTTGTCAGTCAGGATCATAGTCACAGTTAGTCTGGACAGCAAAACTCAGCAAACAGTGAGTTTGTGACAAGTATCCTGATCAAAAAACACACAATCTAGCAGCAGTCAATGGATGGGTCAAATGTATAAACCTGGCTGAAATGTCTTTCATCTACAATTTCCTACCCAGGGAGGCTGATGACAATATAGAGCAGCTAAAATCACTTATCAACTGGAATGAGTTGCTGAATTTATGGAGGATCTCAAAGTTTATCTTTGATTTGATTTATTGTTGTCACATGTACCTAAATATAGTGAAAAGTTTTCTTTTGCGAGCAGTACAGGCAGATCATAGCAAACAAGGACATACAGATCATAGGGTGCTTAGACAGAGCAAGGCATACAGGATTACAACTGCACAGGAGGTGCACAAAAGCAAGGTCAATATTAGATTTGAAATTAGAGAGTTCCATTCTGGAGTCTGATAACAGAAGGAAAGAAGATGTTCTTGAACCTATTGCTGCATGTGTTGAAGCATCTGTATCTTCTGCCTGACAGAAGAGGTTGAAATTGAGTGTTACCGGAGTGGGATGGGTCTTTGATGATGTTGGCAGCCTTTCTGTGGCAACAATAAGTATAGATGGAGTCCATGGATGGGAGGTTGGCTTCCGTGATGATCTGGGCTGTGCATACAACTTTCTGTAGTTTCCTATGGTCCTGGGCAGAGCAGTTGCCATACCAAGCCATCATGTATCCAGATAGAATGCTTTCTATAGTGCATCTGTAAAACTTGGTAAGGGTCATTATGGGCATGGGCATGCTAATTTCCTAACCCTCCTAAAGAAGAAGAGGCCTTGTTGTGCCTTCTTGACCACTGCATCTACGTGGGAGGTTCAGGACAGATTGTTGATTATCATCACTCCTAGGAACTTGATGCTTTCAACCCCCTCCACCTCAGCTCCATTGATGTAGATGGGGGTGTGTCCTCCTCCTTTCTCCCTAAAGTCAATGATCAGTTCTTTTGTTTTGCTGACATTGAGAGAGAGATTGTTATTGCTGCACCACTACACCAAGCACTCTATCTCCTTCCTGTATTCTGACTCGTTGTTTTTTGATATCTGGCCTACTACAGTAGTGTCGTCAACAAACTTGTAGATGCCGTTCATCCGGAATTTGGCTACACAATTGTGGATGTACAGGGAGTACAGTAGAGAGCTTAATACGCATCCTTGTGAGGCGCCAGTATTGAGGATTATCGTGGAAAAGGTGCTGTTGTCTATCTTCACTGGTGGTGGTCTGTGCGTCAGGAAGCTGAGGATCCAGTTGCAGAGGGCAGAGCCAAGATCTAGGTCTTGAACTTTTGAGATTAGTCTGGCAAGGGATTATGGTGTTGAAGGCGGAGTTGTAGTCGATGAGTAGGAGCCTGACGTAAGAGCCCTTGTTATCCATATGTTCCAGGGATAAGTGTAGGGATAAGTGTAGAGCTAGGGAAATGGCATTCGCTGTGGACCTGTTTCACCAGTAGGCAAATTGCAGGGGATTGAGGCAGGCTGAGAAGCTAGAATTGATGTGGGCCATGACTAACCTCTCGAATCACTTCATGATTATGGAGGTCCGAGCCATTGGGTGGTAGTCACTGAGACACGTTGCATGTGTTTTCTTTGGTACTGAGATAATGATGGTCTTCTTGAAGCAGGTGGGGACTTCAAATTGTAGCAAGGAGAGGTTGAAGATGTTAGCGAATAGTTCCACCAACTGGTCCACACAGGATCTCAGTGCACGGCCAGGGACTCTGCCTGGGCCAGTCACTTTGCTCAGGTTTTACTCTCTACAAGCCCGATCTGACATCAGCAGCGGTGACAGGAGGAACAGGTGCGTCTGGGACAGGTGACACCGTGCTGCTGGCATTCTGCTCGAACCAAGCATAGAAAGCATTGAGCACATGTGTTTTTGTCTGCTATTTTGTCCTGCTTCATTTTGTGTTCCATTATGTTGTGTAGGGCTTGGCATAGGGGTAGGTGTCCGTGGGGTTAGTTTGCACGTCTAACCTGGTCTAGTATTGCCTCTTAGCATTTCTAATAGTTTTGTAGAGGTCATATCTGGATTTCCTGTATAGGTCTGGGTTGTCCAACTAGAATGCCACACACCTGGTCTTCAGTAGGCAGCGGATTTCCCAATTCATCTAAGGTGTTCAGTTAGGGAACTCACAGATTGACTTCTTTGGCACACAGTCCTCTACGCACTTGCTAATAAAGTCCGTGACAGTGGTGGCATACTTGTCTATGTTGTCTGCTGAATTCTTGAATATGGTATAGTCCACTGATTCCAAGCAGTCCTGAAAAAGCTCTTCTGCTGCCTCAGACCAGTACTGTACTACTTTCTGTGAAGAATCCTCTCATTTCAACTTCTGCTTTTAAGCTGGGAGGAGGAACACAGCGTCGTGATCTGAGTTTGCAAGACGTGGACGTGTATGGAGTGGTAGGTCTCTTTGATGGTTGTATAGCAGTGGTCAAGGACGTTTGGTCCACTGGTGGAGCATTCTGGTGAGTCATTATTCAGTCAGAAAAATTAAAACTATTTTTCAGGATTTAAGGTGGGAAGCTCTTTACTTATGGTTTAGGTTCTGCTAGTTAGCTCCACTTGGAGATTTCAAAATTGCTTCCAACAAGCCAAGAAAGATTTTGGAAGGGAATGTAAGCAGTTGTCACACTAAAGCAAAAATTCTCATTTCTCTGTCTAAGACTACTGCTGTTTATCAATTTACAATCTCCTGCTGAATGGAGGGGTATCAATGTTAACTAAAAATTTAATTTGCTATAATGTCCTATGTTGCTTTCTTTAACATAACCTGCTACTGGATGTTTTATACAAAAGTACAATATTTATGAACTGTAAACTGAGGAATAATGATTGGGCAAGTGTACCAAAAATCTATAAAACAAAAACAAACTGCTACTGCTGCTGGAGATCTGAAATAAAAGCAGCAAGCGCTGGAGAACCTAACTGGTCTCGTGACATCTGGAGAGAGAAACAGAGTTACCATCTCAAGTCCAGTATGACTTCTTCAGAAGTTGAACCAAAATAAATTTAATTCCATACTTTTTATATGACGAATATACCTTACTATAATTGTTCATTTACATAGTTTTTACGGGAATAGGATCAAATCAATTACTAGCCATAAAGGGATTTCAGCAAAATATTCCTGAATTAAACTGAATGCTCTTAGTCAACAATTCCTTTCATCACTTAGAGGTGCATCCATGTGTAAACAGCAATGGTTAACAGCTCTTACACCTGCATGAAGCCAAGCTATGCCGGTGATTTGCTTGATTCATGTTGCAAATATATTTTGGAGCAGGAATAGCACATGGAACAAGGTAGAATATTCTGCCTATATTTGCAACATTTTAACATATAGAGAAATGATCCCAGACACTCCACAGAAACACACTAATACCAAACTAAAGATAGTAAGGAGTTTTTCAAAAATTGTCAAAGATGTAACTTTGAATCAGGATATGTTTTTCCGCTCTTTCTTCTTTCACATTAGCACAAATGTGCCCATGTATTTAACAATAACATTTTATTTGAGAAATTAAGAGTAGATGATATGCCTAGAGAGTGCACTTTGGCCTGTCGACAAACGGAAGGAGGATTCTAGGGATGGAAATGAGATAAACTGCTGAAAGAATCTGACATCATGAAGTGTGAACCATGTAAATAGCAAACAAGCTGGTACTGATTGGTAAAGGCCCATTCCATTTCTAAAACTTAAAAAAAAATGTGCCACACATACCAAAAAAAATCCATTGTCTTCATATACACCATAATTAGCACAAAGTAACATTTTATATGATACTCAGTGATCCTCCTGAACATAACATCATGCTAGGTCTTGGATGCAATCAACAACCATAGATTTGTAAACAAAAAAAGGAAGGCTGCTTTGCATCAGTAACGAAATGCAGAACAGACAGCAGCTGCAAATTTTGGGAATTTTAGAGGAAGATCAACAACTCCACTGGACAGTCTCCTCAATCCTGATTCAGAATATTCCAGGTGATTGATTAATGTGCAAGTATTTTGAAACTCTGAAGTTACACAGAGCATCACTGTTACATAATGATTTTTCCTCCTGTTTTCACCTTTCCCAGAAAGGTTCATAGTCATTCCAAAACACTGTCCTCAGTCCTCAAAACCTGGAAATTGAAGAACCAAAAAGGTAGAATTTCATTTCAGGTGCTGTGTAAAATAGGTGGTCAAGGAAGTGAGTATCAGGCACTGTGTATTGGCTGATAGAATAACACCCATTTTGCACCACGGCCTAGACAGATTTCTATCCTAAAATCTTTGCTACTCTCCCCTCATCTTTTAATTTTGATACAAAGACTCTGTCTTTGGTGAGACAAGGAAATAAATTCCTATCTAGCCCTTAGCAAGGCTGAATATTTTGGTCTTGTGTTCCTGTGTGGGTTTGTTGGTACCATAATGCTCTCCAAAAGGAAAAAGGATTGTCACCCGTCAATGATGTAGCTCATCTACATCTCATACAGTTGTTGCTTTTCCATGTTGCAATAATAGGGGAGAATACTCTTTAATACGAACATACAATCTTCCCTTGGTCCATGGATTCTGTAGGGAGAGGGGTAGAAAGTCGTCCTGTAGCCATTTCTCAGTGTTGTCCATGGATAACACCAGGCCAAAGTGATCGAGCTGATCATCTCTGTAAAACTGGGCATCTTTGTCTCCATTCATTTTCATCGCTGCCTCATTTGTTTCCTTTATCACCAATTTAATAATCTCTCGTGCTGATGTACTGCCTGTGACATGAAGCTAGAACCAGAGAAATAGCAATTAATAACAGGACAGAGAGTAATGAGGTGCTGATCAGAAATATGTTTCATAAAAAGCTGTTCAAGCAAGGTTTAAGTACATAGTGAAGTACTGTGGATACTGGGAATCTGAAATAAAAACAGAAAATCCTGAAAAAAAACTTATGCGGTCCCGCAGTATCAGTCAAGAGAGAAACAGAATTAACATTTCAAGTTGTGTAAGAGTTGACTTGGCGTCGACCTGAAATGTTAATTTTGTTTCTGTCTCCACAAATGCTGTAAGTCTAGCTGAGTATGTTCAGTGTTACATTTTTATATAACTACTCATGATTGCGCTAACAGGAACACAGTTTGCAGATTAGAAGTGGCTCTAGCTAAATCACCGTTACAGCCCCTATCCTATTCATTATTTCAATCACCACCCAATTCACCAAAGCTATAATTCCCATCCCAAGAAAAAACCCCAACCCAATTAACACGCCAACGAAACAATTTACCCTAATTGTCTGCTGTTTGGTCCTTTATAAACATTTCTTTTTCAGGTTTGGTCTGAAATACTTTGATGGGCACAGTGTAGAAGGAATATTACTCAGTATCTAACCCAGAATCATAGAATTGTTAGGGTGCAGAAGGAAGCCATTTGGCCCTTTGCATCTGCACCAGCTCTGAGCATTTTGACTTAATGCTAATTTCCTGCTATTTCTCCATAATCCTGCAAATTATTTAAATAGAAACAATCATCTAATACCATTTTGAATTCCTTAACTGAACCAGCCTCCACCACACTTCTCGGCACTGCATTTCGAGAAACATTTTTCTCATCTTGCATTTGCTTCCTTTGCAAAATACTAAATCTGTGCCCTCTGGTTCTTAATCCTGTTATGAGCAGGGCCAGTTTCTTCCGATCGACTCTGTCCAGACTCCATATGATTTTGAAAACTTCTAATAGATCTATTCTTAGTCTTCTCTCTGAGAAAATCAATCCCAACTTCTCCAATATCTCCTTATAATTGAAGTTTCTCATTCCTGGGAACATTCTCATAAAGTTCTTCTGTACAATTCCCAATGAGTTTACATCTTTAAAATGTAGCACCCAGAACTATACATAGTAGTTTAGCTGATGTCTAACTTGTGTCTCATATAAATTCAGCATAATTTCCTTGCTCTAGCATTCTGTGCCCCAGTTTATGGAAGGCTAGGATACTGCATGCTTTACTAACAGCTATCTCTAAATGTCTTATGCACACACACTCTGCTTCAGCAAACCAATAGAATAATACCCTTTAGTTTATACTGCTTCTCCATGCTTTTTGTACCAAAATGTTATCATCTCAAACTTGTCCACACTGAACTTCATCTGCCACTTATCTTGCCCACTCCACCAACTTGATAATGTCCTTTTGAAATTCTGCACTGCCCTCCAATGCTCCCAGGTTTTGTACTGTCCACAGATTTTGAATTGTTCTCTACATATCAAGATCAAGGTAATTTATATATGTTGGAAAAAGCAAAGTTCCCAATTCTGACCCCCTCTGGAACTTTACTACAAACCTTTCTTCAACACAGAAAATATCCATTAGGTCTCTTAGGTAATTTGTATCCATGTTACCACTGTCCCTTTTATTCCATGAACTGTAACTTTTCTCACATTTATTGTGGTTCTGTATTGAGTGCCTTTTGGAAGTCCAAGTACACCACATCAACCATACTGCTCTCATCAACTTTGTAAGGACTTCAAAAAACATCAGCAAGTTAGTTAGACATGATTTTCTTAATTAGCCCATATTTTTCAATATGACAATTAATCCTATTCTGAATAATTGTTTCAAGAAGCTTCCTCATCACTGAACTTAAACTGACTGGTTTAGAATGCTGGGCTTTTCTTTACAACCTTTTTTGAACAAGGGCATTATGTCTGCAATTCTCCAGGCCTTTAGCACCACCCCAAGTCCATGGAAGATTGGATTGTCCTCAAAATGTTTGATGGATTCTAATCACTAGAAATACTGCAGTGGATTTTATCGCAAGCTTTGGGTCAGAAGCAAATGAGACTGTCAAAAAAATTTTCTGAAGAAGGGTCCAGGCCCGAAACATCAGCTTTCCTGCTCCTCTGATGCTGCTTGGCCTGCTGTATTCATCCAGCTCTACATCTTGTTATCTCTGTCAAACCTACACCTGCTAGTTTTGTCATCCATTCAACACACTTAGATCATAGATTCCCTACAGTGTGGAAACAAGTCCACACCAACCCTCAGACCATCCCACCCAGACCCATCCCCCTATAATCCACCTAACCTACACATCCCTGAACACTACGGGCAATTTAGCATGGTCAATCCACATAACCTGCACATCTTTGGACTGTGGGAAAAAACTGGAGCACCTGGAGGAAACCCACGCAGACACAGGGAGAGTGTGCAAACGCCACACAGACAGTAACCCAAGAGTGGAATCAGACTCGGGTTCCTCGTGCCGTGAGGCAGCAGTACTAACCACTGAGCCACCATGCCACTTTTTTAGTTTTTCTAGTTGGCTACAGCAATGTTCATTCTCCACTTAAGAATGGTGGGCAAGCTCTTGATGCTGCCAATTACATCAGCAATTGGAATCTCTAGAGCTTTGGGAACCCTACTGGGAGAAGTGAGGCAGGTCAGGGTCCATGAGGGTGCCTCAACAGATTTTGGTTGTTTAAACTGAAATGTTTTATAGCTTCTACCTCTTATTTAGAGCTAATGTAGATTAGGAATATTTCTTTGATAATCTCTGCCTGCTGAGTTCAAGTTAGTCAATCCCATAAAAGCTTAGTCTCGGGTTAATCATAGGATTCACATAACAATCCTTCCAGGAAGAAACTATATGGGAATGTTACCTGCTTCCAAATATGCTACATAATTTTAATCAGCCTCAGCTATGCTATAAATGTCCTAGGTATTTTAAGGGTCGGTGTTTTCTCTCTTCGGGATATCACTTGCCACTTAAGAAGGAAATACATAAGAGAATAGATGGTGTTTCAGTTGCTACAGAAAATCTTGCGACTATTTAGTAATTTTACAATTATAATAGTAGAAATTAACAATCAGTACACTTTAAGTGGATAAGTAAACTGCAGTGCCAGATGAAAATTAAAGATATAATAGCATACCTAATAGAGTCTAATTTGGTGCTGTTTATAAATAGTGAAGACTAAGACTAACCAGGAATATCTCAAAATAGAATATCTATCAACATTTAATGTGAAGATTTACCATAAAGCCTTGAGTGAGTAAAATACCTTCTCCCATGGAGTATCTTTTGAGGAGTATTATCTGAGAGTTACTAATACTTCTGAGATCTTCAGAGAAAGTAAAATTATTGATCCTATCCCAAATGCTTTTCAAATGCAGTTCTTAACTCTTTGTATAGGTTGATCACATTTTCATATCATAGATTTCATGTCATAGATTTATGTGACATAGTATCATTTAACATCATTCCCTAGTTATTCAGTAAACAATACTCTCTGAAGCTGTGAGCTTTTATCCAGTCAATGTAGTCAATCTAGTTTTGTAACTATAAAGTTTTGTCTATCTATCAGATTTTGTTAAAGTAAAAATTGTTAAAGGTTTATCAGTAAAAAGGAAATTACATTTCTCTGTCTAGTTGAGCTCACTTTTCTATTTGTTTTTGATATGTTGTTTGATCCAGATGTCTAATGGTATTCAACGTGATAAAGATCTTTGAATGCCATCTCTTATCAGTTGCATGTTTCAGATTTTAATTGTTCCAGTATTTCTGCTTTAGTTAACATCTTGTTTTCATGTTGAGATATGATGGTACCATGTCTCTTTCCAGCCTTCTAAGTTCAAAGTGGATCTTTCTGACTTTTCCTGCTATCTACTTTGGTTAACTCCTTGTTTGCCATGAATCCTCATGTTTAAAGTTTTCTGTCCTTTCTAATTATTAGACTTATCTTTCAACCAAACCTACATTTCTAACTAGATATTGTTACAATACCTTCTTTATGGGATGGAACTTTGACTCCACTGTGGCAGGTTAATTGCCTCTGAATTGCAAGTCTCTACACATGATGGCAAAATGTTGGCAAGGTGGTACAGTGCCTCTATTAGGGTCTTTAACCAATGTAATTGGCTGTCTGTTTCCAGCCTGCTCAATAAAAATTACCTGTCAGCACTAAAGCAACAGGTACTGAGAGCCATTCACCAATGTGGTGTGTGCACACCACCCTCCTACTTCTTGTTCATTTCCCTACCTCCAATCCTACCATCACATGGTCAGAATATCGAGCCCACTGAGTCTGTTTATTGGACAGTGTCTTTGAACCTGATCAGATTTTGCAACAAATACTGAAAGCAAGCATACCTTGACACTTATTTCCTTGGACAATCCTGTGTGGTACTGTGGATAAACTCTTAAACTCACAGACTTAAGTTTATTCCCTTCATAGATTTGTTCTTCTTTCAGCAGGGATTCCTGATGAGGATTAATCCAGTCTGCAAAATCTTGGGATTTGGAATGAGTTGTTAATTGTGAAATATTGTCAGAATGAAGAGGGGTGTTTGGATTGAAGGACACGGAGGGCCTGTGTCCATTCACACTCGATCCATTGGATTTTTGTTCTGTTGGATATTCATCCATGGATTCAGGTCGTGACCAACATTTCCTTTGAACGTGGAAGGTTTGAGTTGGAATATCAAAGCTGCTTGTTCTGACACAGTAAGCTTGTCTTTTTTCTGTTATATGCAAAAGCTCCAGCTGTCTGCTCGGAAGCACAAAATCACTGTCATAGAGTGGTGTGTGCCTTGTGTCCTCACGACTGCAGCTTACTTGTTGGGATTTGAGTTCATGTGCTTGAAGAACATCAGGAGCACCATCACGTAGATTGTGGCTAGATCTTTTGCTGCAGTCAAGGGCTGATAAACAGATGAGATCCACCTCTCTAGGGCTCTGAGCTCGGCTGGAGTCATAATCACTGTCTGTGGCCAAAAATACTTCTGAAGAACCTTCCTCGTCTGATATCCCATGTGAGTCTGGAAGGGAGAACCACATACATTCAATGTTGCTGTGGTTCCTGTGGTACTGTGAGCAATGGATTAACTAAAGACTGAGTGGTACAGCTCTTAATCAGATTTCAATAATTGCATAGGAATAATACTTAGAGCAGTGAAGCCCATTTGATTCACTAATGATTATAAACGAAACCTTTTTGTGCAGTTTTATTTTGACACTGCTGTTTAAATCTCACTATTTAGAAGGAAAGTGGTCAAAATCCTGGAAAGACAGAGTACAGCTCATGTGGATAGCAAATGGTGGGGTATGGAGGAAAAAAGCCAGGGATCACTAGAAATGGCGAAATGGCATAAGTACAATTTGGTACCTGGCTTGTGCTGTACTAGCTGATTTCAGCAAAGCATTTGGGGAACAACTGTTGGCCTAAGTATGGAAGAGATATCATCAACCGGCCTTTTCCTGTTTCTCATTCAGACCCTCCTATGGAAAATACACATACATATGTTCAATGAGAAAACTTCAGTGATGTTGTCCCACATATAGTGTAATTTGTTACTACCCACAAGCCAGTGATTCAAGGAAGAATTTGGTGCAAAGAAATGTCATCACTTTGCTGACTTGGAGCTGTGAAATAGGATGGACTCTTTGGGATGAGTGAGTTTTTATTTAAACAACAGAGCAAAGTAATAGAGCAAAACGGTCTCTTTCAAAATTTCAAAAAAATCAGATTCAATGTTTTAATGAATGGCAGAGTTTATTTGTACCTGGTACCGTATCTTGCTGCACTTACCTGTGGGATGTTTGTGATTAGTCTCTGGGGAAGGGGTTGGGGAGGGCAAGTAATCTAGGTTGGATGAAACAGATTGCAGATTGTCCTTTTTTATATCTGTGGTAAAATCCATCAGCAAGGTCAATGGAATGCCCCCTGGAGGCTGCTTGTACCTTGCGTACTGTAGAACATCCATTATCCAGCGCACATCCCGCCAGATCTCCTCCATTTGCTGAAAATAAAATTAAAGCTTAATAACCAGATAGAATGGTATATTTGAAACAGGAAAGAGCTTAAAGCTATACTGCACATCATCACTTAATAAATATTCAGGAATCAGAGTACTTACAAATTTAATTCACATTTGTAAACTAAATTAAGCAATATTTGTGCTGTGGAATAGACTACTTTTGAATTCAAGTTCCCAGTGCTTGCAATAAATAACCTATGACCAATTACAGCAGGAGTTAGCTGCAGAGTAATTGCCTCTCTACACCATACTATCAACGTACCTGATCTTCAAGTTAAGAAGTGTACCCACCACTACCTCACTTTTTTACTTCCGAGAAGAGAAATTCCATGGACCTTTTGAAGCAGACTGACAACTGATGCAAAATGATCGACAGTTTGTGTACTGGACCGTGCAGTGAGACAGTCCAATCTCATTTATGTCAGACTCACCCAGCCAGAAGACAGAAGAAGCTTTCATTGCATCAGTCTGGTCTGGGTTTGCTGTCTAAATTCTCATTGTATACTCCTGTCACATAGCACATTCACCATCACCATTAAGACTTAAAATTTGCCTGGTACTTTAACGGACAGGTTCAGACTGAGGAGATACTCCGGATCACCCCTCTGATCTATTCCTCACTGCCACTGGGAACTACGAGCACAGTGCACTTTAATCTTATAAAAGCTTTGCTTCAAAAATTCCTCAAGTGTTACTATCCTCTGGAATTTACTACTGTCAAAGATTAATAAGCTATGTTTTTTTAAAAGTGATATCATCCCAGAAATGTTTGCCTTGTAAGTAAACAGCTCACTCAACATGATCCGATGTACGAGCAGAAACCAGTTTTATTTAGTGGATTCTGAATAAACTGTATTGTTCGTCTATTAATGGACTACATCGAATATTATGGTAATGGGAGGTTCTTTTAAACTACTGCCTTTAAATTATTCACAGTTCACTTTTAACAAGATAGCAAAAGCTACTTATTACAGGACAGACTCAGTCTATCTGTCCTCGGTTAAATATGGACTCACTGATGAAGGATGCAAGGACTGATCTATTCATCTTCGTTCCATCAATGCAACAATGACTGCTCAATAGAATCTGCTTACCTGAATAAAGTCCTGGACTTGCTGATGCCTCTGTTTGGCTGCAACTACCTCAGAGTCAGAAAATGCCTCCCTCAGTGCCTGCTGGGAAAGCAGCAAATCTAACTCCAGCAGCGCTGAGACTTGGCAATACTGGCTAATGAATACCTTGTCATAGGTGAAGAAGTGCACTGAAAGACAGACAACAAATTGTCGATGGGCTAATGTATTCATTTATTCATATCCTTACACTCAACTTTATTAATACCCGTACTGTAGATTGCATGCAATGCAGTAACACTCAAATATGGTTCAAAACACCAAGCTAGTAGTGTCGACACCTCAAGCTTTTAAATATACATTCAGACTTGCTTACCATTTCAGTAACACCTTTTAAAAATAAATTACAGAAGATTTGACATGAAAAATCTAACAAAGCAAAATTAAGTGAATAACATATGGAATATAATACATTAGTAACTTAATGTTTCAGTGTACAAGTCATTTATCCAGGTTTCTGCTGAGATCTGTTTCAGTGTTATTAGAAAACATTGTTAAAGCTACTGTATTGAAAAGAATGTGTGACATATTACTACACCATTCCTGTGGGGACATGTCTGTATTCTTGATGAATATTTCATTAAATTACAGCAGCATGTGACAATAATATGGACATCCATAAGGTATCCATGTTATAATTTTGAAATTAAACTTTGTCCACTGCTGAATTAAAAGGGAGATGTTTCTCTGCAAATTGTCATACAAAGGAATACCACTTTATCAGTATAGATTCTAGCTTTGAAAATAGATTTTAGTAAGTACAGTCATCACGGAGAAAGAATTCACCCCAAGGAAGAGGTGAACAGTGCAGAAC